GGCCCCTTTAATTAGCCCAAACGAAACCGAAACACTCATGCAGACCCAGTAATAGTATTTAAAAAACGCCTTTCCTCCATTACCTTCAACCTTTTCCCAATCCTCCAGGAGTTATGAGAGGAGAGTGCAGTCCCAGGGCGGCGCTGTACCCGAGCCCTGCTAAACAGCGTGTGCGGACCGCATGGACGACAAAGAGGCTGGCGTGTGATCGACTGACCACGCCCCCTTCGTGCGGGGCACGCCCACTCTCTACCATACGACCTTCCCATTGGATGCAGGGTCTGTCATCGCTTATGATGTAAACACACCACATGTATGAATTAATAATTAAATAAGCTACACGCGCAGATACTCGCGCGTCCACACAGAAAAAAGAAAAGTGAATAGATTTATCCAAACTCTTCTCTGTCATTTGAAGTATTTTGTTTAATTTCACATTATATATTTGTAATACACATGAGCTTGGCCCATCCTGGAAACTCTTAGCGCCCCCGACGCATCCACACTCCCAAGCCCCACAAATGCATGTCCCACAGCTCTACGGCCCATTGTGGACACATGATTATGAAATTAAAAGTCGAAATTCTGACATAAAAAGTCGAAATTAAGAGATACTAAGTCGTAATCATGAGATCAAAATAATGAGATGAGATGGCATGCCAACTAATTATGACTTAGTGTCTCATGTTTTTGACCTTTCGTGTCATAATTATAATTTATGTCATTATTTCGACCCTTTATCTCATTATGTTGACTTTTTTGTCATAATGATAATTTACTAAAGCATTGGGTTTTCGTATGTGGCGGTCGGAAAAGGGCTTCTTCCATCACTGATCTATATATTATATATTATGATCTATATAGATCAGTCGTCAGTGGTCTATATGTTATAGATCAGTAGTCTATACAGAGCTGGGTAGTAACTGATTACATGTAATCTGGATTCCAAAAATTAAGTAGGCTACTCCTAATTACATTCAATTACATTTTAAAATACTCGTAATCAGACTACAGTTACTTTTTTATTGATTACATGATTACAAATTATTCACACAATTGCAGTAAATTATTCATAATTTATTGATTCTCCCTAATTCTTCTTTTTTTCTGCTTAAATGTTTTATTTAAATTGGTTTTATTTCAAAAGGAGTTAATTGGTTTAATTACAAATTTTATTATTTAATTAATTAATTGCTTTTCATCAACTCACAAACCCCCTGCATTTCAATCACAAACCCATTCCGATAATGCATTCCGATAATCTCAGAATCAATACAC